GCTAGTCTGGCCTTCCTCCACCTGCTGAGGAATCTAAAGCCTCATCATGTACGCCTCATCAAAAGTGACATCTCTGCTAATGATTATATTCTTGTATTATGGATCCCATAACTTAAAGCCTTTAATTCCATCTCTAAAGCCCACAAAGATTGCTTTTCTAGCCCTCAGATTCAATTTCCCATCATTCATATGATAGTAAGCTGGACACATAAAAATCTGAAGTAACTCATAATCACTAGCCACCGATCCAAACAATAGCTCCATAGGAGTCTTCTCATGTATTGCAGTACACGACAACCTATTCATGAGATGAATCACATAAACCAACATCTCGGTCTAAAAGGATCTAGTCAATCCACTCTGTGAGAGCATACAACGTACATTCTCCAGCAAGGTACGGTTCAATCTCTCGGCCACCCCGTTTTGTTATGGTGTCTCACTAACTATGAAGTATCGCCTAATACCGTGATCCCGGTAAAACTGCAGAAATGGATCACTCTTGTACTCACCACCATTTTCTGAATGGAGTATATTCACCTTTCTATCTGTCTGCAGCTTTACTTTCTTCTTCTACTCCACAAATATATCCAGGACCTCATGTTTATGCCCTATAAGGTATACTCAATTCCTCCTGGAATAATCATTAATGAAAGTGATAAAATAATTAGCCTCACCAAGTGATGTATGTTTGGAATGTGTAGGCTGTCTAAAAATCATAATAGATAGCTGATCCACCATCAAACACCGATGATAAAAGTTAAAATCTAACGACTTTCACACCCCAAAACACCCAAGGTAAAGATCACTCAACAATGGTCTTTACAACGCTCTACAGAAGAAGTTATAAGTCATTAGCTCATTCTAAAACGCGGAATTCACTTTCGCGTTTCAGTTCTTGAAACGCAGGCGACCCCCGCGTTTCCAACCCTCATCAAACAAAACACGGATGACCCTCGTGTTTTTTAACATCTAGCGGGCGACCCTCGTGTTTTTCAACATCCAGCAGGCGACCCTCGCGTTTTTTAACATCCAGCGGGCGACCCTCGCGTTTTTTAATATCCAACGGGTACCCAACTCTGCGTCTCCAGTCTAAAACGCGGAGTTAGGGTCCTGAACGCCAACTTGGACGTTGTTTGACTCATTCAACATGAGCTGAACGGTTCCAAAACTGTTTCCTACGATTTAGGGGCAGTTACACCCAACTTAGGAGTGATTTAAGGGACGGTTACACCCCGTTAATCCCCTATAAAAATGAGTAAACTCAACTAAGTTTGGGGCTTTTTCGGCTGGGTTTTTGGATCTTAAACTTGGCAGCGAAGAGGAGATCTTCAGCTTGGCAGCAAGGGGGAGATCGACGTTTATCCTTCAGCAACGTTCGACAACAGAGAGCTTTCATCCTTGGCTATAAACCGATTTCGGTTAAATCAACTCTTTCATAAAGTTTCAAACTCGTTCAGAGTTATCAACTCGTCCAGAGTTCTAAAACTTTCTTTGCAAGTTCTCCACAGCGTCAAATCGTGAGGAGGAGATACCGTTCCGGTGAATCAAGACGTTCGGATCATCAACGGAGAGCAAACTCGACGCGAGCATTCGAGAAAGGCACTCCATCGCCACCGTGAAAAACCCAGAACTAAACAAAGGGGAGAATCCAGATCAATTCTCCTCTCTTTTGTAATCAGGAAATCCAATTGTAATCGAGATTGAGATGGTTGTAATCATTCTTTTTCTAAGCAGTTAGAGAGAATAAATCAAATACGATTCTTTCATCATTTTTCTTATTACAAATTTTCCACTAAACAGAAGGACCCTAAACATTTGTGTGAACATAATCCAATATACCTAGGGTGTTGTGAATTACGATATTGAATTTCACTTTTGTCTTCTTCACAAGTACACAATGCTCACACAACTCCATCTTGCAGGTCTTTGCACCTTTCAATAGCCTTTGTTTCGCTAATATCTATAGGAACTTATCACCAGTGTGTCCTAATCTCATGTGCCATAAGCTGGTAGTATCCTCCTCTATGGTAATCGAAGCTGTCAGACCCCCTGTTACTGTCTTGCCCTTCAAGTAGTAAAGGTTATTTTCTCTGACACCTTTCATCACCATCATGGACCCTTTGTGACCTTCAGAGTTGTATTCTCCACGATCACCCTATAGCCTGATGCCTCCAAAGTTCCAAGTGAAATGATATTCTTCATCAATTGAGGAACAAATCTCACTTCCTTCAGCTCCCTAATCACTCCGTCACACATCTTGATTCAGACTGTTCCAATACCACCAATAGGGCATACGTAATCATTACTCATGAGCACGACATCCCCTCTTTCTAACTCCTCAAAGCTGAAGGACTAGTCCCTTCTAGGACAAATATGGTATGTAGCACCCGAATCCAACATCCACTACGTAGAGTCGGCATAAAAAACTGACGGTAATGCTGGGCATAAGTAGCCCGAAGAATCTGAATCTGAATTATCGCCACTAGCTTTGGCAACATTCACCTTCGAAGCTTGTACGACTTTCCCCTTATTCTTCCCGGCTCGATCTTTCAACTTTGGGTATTCGTTCTTCCAATGTCTATCTTCTTTGTAAACAACATATTGATTCCTACCAATACTTCTATGGCCACCTCTCTGCTTCGACTTTGAGCAATTGAATGGACGACGGTTTGGACTACGGCCTCTCACTTCCAATGCATCTCCCGATGCCTTCTCGGAGGGTTCACTACCACTTTTCCTCAACTCATAGTTCACTAATGTTGAGGTCACCTACTTGTAGCTAACAGTGGTTCTACCATTGATCATAGTAAGAACAAAAGTACAATAATCCTCTTTTGACAATGAACATAGTAACAACATCACCTTGTCTTCATCCTCTACCATGATATCCACGTTGGCCATATCTGATAGCAATTTTGTGAAATTATTGACATGCTCTCTAATAAAAACTCCCCTCTTCATCTTTAATTGATAAAACCTCTTATTCAAGTGAAGCTGATTCTCAATTCTTTTCGTTAAGTACTTGTCGTTGAGTGTTTCCCACAACCGTTTCGCTGATGTCTCGTTCATCACACCATAGATCAAATCCAACGTCAAGCATGACCTAATAACCCCACATGCTCTACTGTTAACTTTCTTCCAAACCTTCTCATCCATAACAGCGGGTTTCTCTTGTAAATCAAGAGTCTCCTCCAAATTCTGAGCATCCAATGCATCCATCAACTGACACCTCCACAAAACCAAAGTTTATCTTGCAATCAAACTTCTGAACATTAATTTTAGTGTTATTGATGCTCAAACCCTGTATCGCCTTCAAAAGAGACGATCCTGATGTACTTGCTTCACCCATGTTGATAACCTGATCTCTTCAAACAAGAATCCTGCAGAGAATCCTCCAAACGAGCCCTAAGCCAAAACCCGAAGCTCTGATTCCAATTGTTGTGCGCAGCGAAATCCGAAAGAACACAAACAAATAAGATAGAATCATTACTAATAGGTAAAACAAGAACCAAACAATGCAAGACACCGATTTTACGTGGTTCGGCAAGTTGTCTACGTCCACGGGGCAATGAGGGGATATGTTTTTACTATTAGAGAAAGAGAGTACAAATAGAGATTACAAATTTACTCAAAACTCACAAATTAATCTCTCAAACAAATATCTCAAATCTCTCACCAAATCTCCCAAATACACAGCTCAAAAGTCTCCTTAATTTGCCATAAAGAAACCCTAAAAATCGTGTTTGTATTTATATTAAACACTAATCCCAAAGATATCAGGAAACCAAGCACAGGCCCAAAACCGCATCGCGGTCGACCGCACAAGTCGTCACGATCGACCGGCCAGAACATTGAAAAACTCAGTGTGTCAACTACAGGATTACTTCGCGATCAACCGGACAAAATCTAAAAATAAACCCTATTCCTGTGCACGTTTTCGGTTGACCGGACCTAAGCCCGCGGTCGACCGGACAGCTTCCGAACACCTCCTGCTTCGTTTTTTTCCTGAACTTTTTTGCCGTTTTCACCGATTCTACAATTTTGACGAGGTGTCTCTCTGAAAAGCAAAGTCACTCCAATTTAAAGTGATTTTGTGGGAAAGCTGACAAAGTGTCAACTAGGAGACAAAATAAATAAAAAAAACACCTCATTATTGTCCTCGGTGAGATTTAACAACAATAAATTATAGTTTTCTTTTCAAATAAGTCTCTTAATCTTTCATATTTCAAATTAGCCCTTCAAATCGTTGAAAGTAGTTATAGGTTTCCATTCTTAAAAGTTTACAAAATTAATCCCTTACATAATTAAAATTGCAATTAGGTCCCTCTATTCTTATAAGTTGTCTTAAATTAATCATTCCAATTGCGATGAGTAGGGAGATAAATTGGATTGTGAAGTTTTTTTGTGTTTTATGGAGGTAATCCTACCTGTTATAAAATGTATTTTTTGAGTAAGGTCCATATAACTATCTATTTCTAAGTTTATAGCATGCAATTCAAACAATACTAGCATTCTAGGATTCACAATGATTCCTAACCAAAAAATGTAAAATCTCAAATGAGAAATGGTGAGGTGGATGACCACATTCCATACAGCGTCATAAATAATCTTGTTTCGTCCAAAGCATCCGAAGAGCCCCATTAGATTGTACGGGATGCTACATGACCTAGCTGCAGAGGAACTGAAGTGAGGAAATGGAACCCATGAGCGAGCTATGGGTCGAGGGAAATGGGATCTCTAGCACTGCTTAAAATGTGTAATAGTTGGGATTTAAACGTGGATAATTGTTTCTTGATACAAATAGCATTTATATGTTCTTCCATGGTATCAACTATTCGATATTATTAACAAGTCGTGGGAGTTATAATTAGACATTCTAATGTACATGACTTTTGTCATATTATTATATATTGACAATGGAGATATGGTATATACATACTAAATAGATCGAGAGATGCATATATAATCAATTTTTAAACAGTACTAAAAGAAGATTTACGTCAAATCAAATATTCGTGTACGATCTTTTATTGAATTGAAACGTACATTAGACTAAATACGTCGACATAGTAACTCCAGGAAACTCGACCAAGCAAACTACATAAGGACCTTATCACATGATCTGAACTAGCGCGACAAATATGAAGGGAATAAACGTTCTCAAGCAGAGACATAGTAGAAACAAAACATAGACATGAACAATATATTATTTGTAGAGCTCGATCAATGGAATGCCTAACGCAGAAGGAACAAGCTTTAACTCTGAGAAGCCTGCTTCTGTTGCTAAGGACTCGAACTCTTCTTTGGTCCTCTCTTTTCCCTCACAGAAGTTCAACATGCAAAGATCTGCGTAGTGCATGGTTTGAGTCATGGTGTCCTCGTCGGGGACCTCAGGGATGATAAATTCTGCAATGATCACCTTCCCGGAATCTGGTAGAGCTTCGAAGCAATTCTTCAGTATCTTTATGCAATCTTCATCAGACCAGTCATGAAGAATCCACTACAAGTATCACCAGATCGAAGCTAAAGTAGTTTCTTGTAGACATAAATTAAGGTTAAGTTTGGTTTGATTTGCTCTGTAATTATATGCAAGTGTCAGTTACACGCAACTGCTAGCACATGTATTTGCTTACGTATGTATTCGCTAGATCAGTTTTATAAACAACTATTGTTGCATATTTTTGTTTTGTGGTAGCCTAGCTTTTGGCTTCTTTTATGGATTGGTTAATGCAATTGAATTAGTTGCAATGTAAACTCCATTTTTAGCTCATAATAGTTCGCAACTGCAAGTTATTTGCATAAGTTGTTGGCTATAGCTAAAAGTAGACAATTTTATTGAGCCGCAACTGATTTTATTAAATCCAAGGAACAAACTGCTGTAACTATAATTGCAACTCTACATGCAGTGAACCAAATGGACCATCAACCTGCAGCGATAAGTTCATGTATATCGAATAACATTCATGTAACTATAAGATCTTTTCTAGATTTGAGGTTTGTTTATATATACAATATTCTCCATAAAAAGATTTTTTTTTTTAAATTCCTAGAGAAAAACCCTCAAAATTAAGGCATATAACCTTCATGAAGACTGCTTCCCCACTTGGAATGCTATCAAACATATCTCCCGCAACGTGTTCCACTCCTGCATCATAGTGATCCGACAAATATTGCAACAGGTAATATATGGAGGTTGAGGACAAAATTTCTAAGCTCATCCATCAATATATAGTTTGTTTACTTGTACGATTATAGTAGCTAGTCCTTACCTTTGATTGGTGGCGCATGAGAGATGACATGAGGGAGATCAAAGTTAATTCCGTTCATTTGAGGAAACTTGGAGACGATCATTTGAAGAGCGGCTCCAGTACCACCACCAACATCTACGAGCTTTTGAATGCCTTTGAAGCCCGGGTAGCCACCCACTGCAATTTTCAGGATGAGAGTGGAGGTGCATGACATGCCATTGTTGAAAATTCTACTCAATTCAGGATCACTTCTCATGCACTCAAAATACTTCATTCCGTGGACCTTCTCGAAGGGGACCACTCCGTCAAGAACAGCATGCTTTAGTTCTTGCCTAGTTAAGAGGATCATGCTGGATATGTCAGATCTTACTCAGTATGGATTAAATAAAGAGGGTGTCTACGTGCAATTAACGGGCCCTGAAACAAAAACAAGAATAACGATAACTATGTATAATATAATTTTTCCTACACTACTCTCACGCTACAAGAGAAGAAAATACCCTTGATGAGTAATCAATTTAAAAAAAAAAGTTAAAAAGATTGGACCCTACATTTTCCTCTCTTCTAGTGTAGAAGTAGTGTAGTTATCACTACCCAAAAAACAAGGGTTTCCCCCTTAGAGATCACCTTTCATTTTCAATTTATATATATATATATAAATTATCTTTAAAGTGGTTTTTTGCTGCAACCTACCATCTGCCAGTCAAATTTTCATAAAAACCCAAAATTGCCCTTCAAAACTCACATCTACGGCACATGACTCATTTTTGTTAGTGTTTAAGTCTTACTAGGATACAACTCACATACATTAAACTTGGATTTTTAAGCTTACTAGTTTTTACACACGTGCAATGCACGTGATTTAATACCATGATTAAGTATTTTTGGCAGTTTGTGCTCATTTTTTTCTTTAAACTCTTACATCCCGATTATTTTTTTATGTTTGTTTAAATGGGATACACCTAATTTAAATTTTCATGTTGATATTTGAATTAACAAAAAACAAATATAATTTAAAAATAATTTGAATTTTCATATTATTTTTGACCGATATGAAACTAAACTTTATTTGAGAAAGTATAGCATTGCAAAGTGAAAAATATTAAAATAGTGTTATACAAGCAATGTGAATATTTAAAACCAATATGGTAAAATGATTGATTTAAAGTATGTTAAAACGATGCAAAAGAGAATATGAAGTTTATTCCTAATCATTGATAGACTTCATAAAAAAAATATAAATTAAAGATTAATGCTAACTCTAGTATACTTTTATATGATAAAAACATCCACATAAGAATATAAAAGTACTGAAAAAAAATTCATGAAACTCCCTTCTAAAGATTCCTAATTTCACTCAAAATAATTAAACTATTCTATAAAATATTCATAAAATATTATTTTTATTTTTTCTATTTTATTTTTTATTGAGTTAAGATCAATCCTTCTTCAGGTTTATCATTTATCATTTCTCGGACAATTCTAGAGTATTGTCTTCATCATCTACATCAATTGTGACATCAGGCTAATTTTGTATTTTTTATGCTATTATCTTTCCTGGGCTCGTTAATTTTTTATCATCTCATTTAACTTTACAAAGAAGTCAAATGTACTTATGATGTTCAACACAAACTGCTCAAAATATAGACTTTGATTTTTTTTCTATTTCAATGAGAATAAATATTAATTTCATATATATAAAATTCTTTGTGTTCCTAATTTATTACTTAAATAAATTAGAAGCTATCTCTTTATTTTCCTCTAAAATGAATTCTTCTGATGTGCATCCAATAAGAATTTCTGTTATTTCAATAATATTACCTTTGCTCTATCCCTGTCATTTTCCATAAAGATCTAAACTAAATACCTGCATTATTCATTACCAATTTCTCTTAGATTATAATATTAATATTTAATTTGAAGAACACAGTATGGAATTTATGAATACTTACTAATTTTTCTTATGTCTTCCATGGAGATTTTTTCTTTGATTAGGATAAAGTTATTAAATTATTTTTTAATGTAACTCATTCAGTGCTTCATTAATAGATATGTCTTATGTTAATGCCAATTCAAGTGATTCATTGACGTTTTCTGAATTTTAGATTTATTTCCATCACTTTCCCATTTGCAATGGAAATAACTCAATTCTTTTAAAGTTATCTCTAAATATTCTAATAGTTTCTCCATATGTAATTCCTTGTATTCTTTTACCCTATAAATATTATTAACGTCAAAGATTAAAGTTTCTAAATTAAAATCAATTAATGCTAAGGTATAATATTATAGTGTTTTATCATTTCTATGGATTTAAACATCTATCAATTAATGTTACGAATGTATTTTGGCTACCCCAACTTATTACTAAAATTATATGAAATTACTTTAATTTATATAGTGCCGATAATTTTTAATCTATAATATTTTTAAAAATTTTATCCATTAACCGGATGTTTTTAATCAATTCTTATTGTTTTTGTTTACCAGTATCAACTTAGACTATTCTTAGATGCTGAAAATGGATAGTAAATCCCTAAATTAGAAATTTTAATATATATATATATATATATATATATTTCAAACAAAATATAAATGTATGTGCAACTCAGTTTCCGCATATACCTTTTTTTAATAAAGAGTCCTCGCATCTCTATGATATTTTTCCCCCCGCGTTCAGGGGCTACGTTTCCGGGGACATAACTATGTGAAGCTGACACGAAAGTCAACATGTGCTTTTATCATTGACTAGTTTTTACACACGTGCAATGCACGTGATTTAATACCATGATTAAGTATTTTTGGCAGTTTGTGCTCATTTTTTTCTTTAAACTCTTACATCCCGATTATTTTTTTATGTTTGTTTAAATGGGATACACCCAATTTAAATTTTCATGTTGATATTTGAATTGACAAAAAACAAATATAATTTAAAAATAATTTGAATTTTCATATTATTTTTGACCGATATGAAACTAAGCTTTATTTGAGAAAGTATAGCATTGCAAAGTGAAAAATATTAAAATAGTGTTATACAAGGAAGGTGAATATTTAAAACCAATATGGCAAAATGATTGATTTAAAGTATGTTAAAACGATGCAAAAGAGAATATGAAGTTTATTCCTAATCATTGATAGACTTCATAAAAAAATATAAATTAAAGATTAATGCTAACTCTAGTATACTTTTATATGATAAAAACATCCACATAAGAATATAAAAGTACTGAAAAAAATTCATGAAACTCCCTTCTAAAGATTCCTAATTTCACTCAAAATAATTAAACTATTCTATAAAATATTCATAAAATATTGTTTTTATTTCTTCTATTTTATTTTTTATTGAGTTAAGATCAATCCTTCTTCAGGTTTATCATTTATCATTTCTCGGACAATTCTAGAGTATTGTCTTCATCATCTACATCAATTGTGACATCAGGCTAATTTTGTATTTTTTATGCTATTATCTTTCCTAGGCTCGTTAATTTTTTATCATCTCATTTAACTTTACAAAGAAGTCAAATGTACTTATGATGTTCAACACAAACTGCTCAAAATATAGACTTTGATTTTTTTTTCTATTTCAATGAGAATAAATATTAATTTCATATATATAAAATTCTTTGTGTTCCTAATTTATTACTTAAATAAATTAGAAGCTATCTCTTTATTTTCCTCTAAAATGAATTCTTCTGATGTGCATCCAATAAGAATTTCTGTTATTTCAATAATATTACCTTTGCTCTATCCCTGTCATTTTCCATAAAGATCTAAACTAAATACCTGCATTATTCATTACCAATTTCTCTTAGATTATAATATTAATATTTAATTTGAAGAACACAGTATGGAATTTATGAATACTTACTAATTTTTCTTATGTCTTCCATGGATATTTTTTCTTTGATTAGGATAAAGTTATTAAATTATTTTTTAATGTAACTCATTCAGTGCTTTATTAATAGATATGGCTTATGTTAATGCCAATTCAAGTGATTCATTGACGTTTTCTGAATTTTAGATTTATTTCCATCACTTTCCCATTTGCAATGGAAATAACTCAATTCTTTTAAAGTTATCTCTAAATATTCTAATAATTTCTCCATATGTAATTCATTGTATTCTTTTACCCTATAAATATTATTAACGTCAAAGATTAAAGTTTCTAAATTAAAATCAATTAATGCTAAGGTATAATATTATAGTTTTTTATCATTTCTATGGATTTAAACATCTATCAATTAATGTTACGAATGTATTTTGGCTACCCCAACTTATTACTAAAATTATATTAAAGTACTTTAATTTATATAGTGCCGATAATTTTTAATCTATAATATTTTTAAAAATTTTATCCATTAACCGGATGTTTTTAATCAATTCTTATTGTTTTTGTTTACCAGTATCAACTGATAGTAAATCCCTAAATTAGAAATATATATATATATATGAAAAATACCAAACAATTACACTTTTCTTTGCCAAGTTTTAAAATTTTAGCCCATTTTTGTGGTTTTGAACTTTGAGGGTGTGATTTATAATTTTTAAAATTTTGAAAGAGTTTTTTAAAAAAATTAATTTTAAGTTTGGTAGTTGTAAATTCTATGTTTCATGTGTTGTTGGTAATTTTTTAAATGTTAGTATATTTCTTAGAACTCTAAAATTTTGAGGGTGCCTTTTGCAATTATTAAAACTATAGATTAATTTTGAAAAATATTAAATTTCAGCGGTCTACCAATCGACGAATTTGATGTGTGCTAGTTAAAATTTTTGAAAATTTAGAGATTTTTTTTACGATTTTTAAATTTTGAATGAGTTTTTAAAAAATTTTGAGGTTAATTTTGGCAAATTTTAATTTTTTAGGTGTCTAAGGGTAATATCTTGAATTCATCTTATTTTATTTACAAATTTTAGAATTTTAGGGTGGCTTTTTATAATTTGAACTTTTGAAGGTGTTTTTATAATTTTTGAGATATTGAGGGTGTTAATTAAAAAATTTAAATTTAAATATCAAAAATTTTAGGTGTATCATGGTAATCTCTTGAATTTATCTGTGTTGTTTGTAAGTTTTAAAATTTTAGAATTGTAATGTGCTTGTCTGTAATTTAAACTTTTAAGGGTGTTTCTATAATTTTTGAGACATTGAGGTGTTAACTGTAAATTTTAAATTCTTTGCAAACTAATGTTAATTTTTTAATTTCATGTTTTTTATTTTATGTTTTGAGACATTTGGATGAGTTTTATAGTTTTGAACTTTTCAGGGTCTTTTATGCAATTTTAAAACTTTTTATGATTTTTTTGCAATACTTCATGTATTATAATATGTTATATACTTGTATTTTCTTTATCTTAACAAACTAATATCATTTTTATGTTTTATATATTTTATTAACATTAGTTTTTTTAAATTGTTAAGCTAAACATGGTTCACATAGGATTAGGATAAGATATGATTATGATTAGGATAGATTAAGATATAAATAAAATATTCAAAATAGTGAAGGGTAATATTAACCATTAAAAATTAGAATTTGATTATAGATAAGGTAGTTCAAACTATAAAGGGGTATATTTGTCTAAAAAAGATTTTCCGAACTCGTGCTTTTAAAGGGAGTATGATAATAAAATTTTTACATGCCACTACAAGTAATCTACTATTTAACGACCAAAATTAATATATATATGAAAAATACCAAACAATTACACTTATCTTTGCCAAGTTTTAAAATTTTAGCCCATTTTTGTGGTTTTGAACTTTGAGGGTGTGATTCATAATTTTTAAAATTTTGAAAGAGATTTTAAAAAAATTTACTTTTAAATTTGGTAGTTGTAAATTCTATGTTTTATGTGTTGGTGGTAATTTTTTAAATGTTAGTATATTTCTTATAACTCTAAAATTTTAAGGGTGTCTTTTGCAATTATTAAAACTATAGATTAATTTTGAAAAATATTAAATTTTAGCGGTCTACCAATCGACGAATTTGATTTGTGCTAGTTAAAATTTTTGAAAATTTAGAGTTTTTTTTACGATTTTTAAATTTTGAAGGAGTTTTTTTTAATTTTAAGGTTAATTTTGGCAAATTTTAATTTTTTAGGTGTCTAAGGGTAATATCTTGAATTCATCTTATTTTATTTACAAATTTTAGAATTTTAGGGTGGCTTTTTATAATTTGAACTTTTGAAGGTGTTTTTATAATTTTTGAGATATTGAGGGTGTTAATTAAAAAATTAAATTTAAATATCAAAAAATTTATGTGTATCATGGTAATCTCTTGAATTCATCTGTGTTGTTTGTAAGTTTTAAAATTTTAGAATTGTAATGTGCTTGTCTGTAATTTAAACTTTTGAGGGTGTTTCTATAAATTTTTGAGACATTGAGGTGTTAACTGTAAATCTTAAATTCTTTGCAAACTGATGTTAATTTTTTAATTTCATGTTTTTTATTTTATGTTTTGATACATTTGTATGAGTTTTATAGTTTTGAACTTTTCAGGGTCTTTTATGCAATTTTAAAACTTTTTATGATTTTTTTGTAATACTTCATGTATTATAATATGTTATCTACTTGAATTTTCTTTATCTTAACAAACTAATATCATTTTTATAATATGTTATCTACTTGAATTTTCTTTATCTTAACAAACTAATATCATTTTTATGTTTTATATATTTTATTAATATTAGTTTTTTTAAATTGTTAAGCTAAACATGGTTCACATAGGATTAGGATAAGATATGATTATGATTAGGATAGATTAAAATATAAATAAAATATTCAAAATAGTGAAGGGTAATATTAACCATTAAAAATTAGAATTTGATTATAGATAAGGTAGTTCAAACTATAAAGGGGTATATTTGTCTAAAAAAGATTTTCCGAACTCGTGCTTTTAAAGGGGTATGATTTTTGATTTTTAGTGAAAATTTAACTGGGATTTAGTTGGTTGCAACAAAAACCTATTAAAGATAGTTTATGCATAAATTAAAAATGGAAAGTAGTTTCTATATATAACTATCCTATTTTCAAAGTGGTTTGTAGGAGAAAACAACCCCAAACTATGTGATGCGGCTTGGCTAACACAGGTTTTCTCTTCACATAATTAATTTGGATTTTGATCCTCTCCATTAATAAAAAGTAGTGGTTTTGTTATCACTTTTTAATTAAGGAGAGGATTCATGACATCTATAGTTATTTCCTTGCAAGTAACCGATTTAATTTATGAGGGTTATCTATAAACAAAGAGCTAGGTCCCTCCAACCTTATCAATTATTCTACATTAGTCCTTCAAATCTAGGAAATTACTGATTAGTCCTTCAAATCCTAAGAGGTCTTACAATTTGGTCCCTCAATAACCAAGATACCCTCAGTTAATGTTTTTTTAAGGTTAATTTGTAATTGGGCACTCTAAAATTTACACATTTTCAAATTTGATATAACAAAGTCTTTTTGATACTCTGATACCCCAAAGTTTACACCTTTTTTAGCTTTGATACCTCCATAGTTCTTTTCTTACACTTTGACACTCAAATTTACATATTTTAAACTTCCATACCCTAACATTTCCATATTTTAAACTTTGTTACCTCAAAGTTTCGAGTATCAAAGTGTCAAAATAAAACTGTAAGGGTATTAAGTTAAAATATATAAAATTTATCGTAACAAATGTTAGAAAAAAAGAACTTCAAGATTTCAAAGTAAAAAAGATGTAAACTTTAGGGTATCAAAGTGTTGAAAAAACTTGGGGTACTAAAGTTAAAAAAAGTGTAAACTTTATTGTACCAAAGTGTAAATAACCCTTTTTTAATAAGATGGCTTTTGGGCAGGAAAGAGCTTTGCTACAGGGACCCAAAATATGGGACCAATAAAGGGGACAAGTGAGGTATCTCCCTCCTATTGGATAATGAGTTGGTCATCATTAATGATGGCCAATTCATTATCCAATAGGAGAGGGACACCTCACTTGTCCCCTTTATTGGTCCCTTATTTTGGGTCCTTAAAGAATTTTTCGGCAGGAAATCATAACCGAAGGACATTTTTGGGCGGGAAATCATAATTGAAGGGTATTTTAGTTATTGAAGGTCCAAATTGCAAGACCTCTTAGGAACTGAGGGAATAATGAGCAATTTCTAAGATTTGAGGGATCAATATTGAATTATTGAAGATTTGAGGACTGATACATGAATAACCCAAACAAATAAAAGTTTTCTTTGATTATTTACATTCAAGTGCCCTGTGGTACATGTAGCCAGGATGAATCCTTTCTTTCTTTCGTCCGTCCTTTTTTTTTGGGTTGGGGGTTGATGATTTTTTTTTCTTTTTCGTTTTCTTTTTTTTTTATGGTGGGGGTTGTGGGGAGGGAGGCCCGGGGGGAAGGGTTGTTTGGGCCTATAGTATACACGCTTTGGCCTTGAACAAGGCATCGAGGCCTTCGGCCCAAAGGCCTTTGCCTAAAGTTTGCTCAAGGTTTTGGGTTGAACCAGAGCAATTAATCATAAGATTAATTCTTGGATTATCAATGTAATATCTGTCAGTAAATTTAGAATTATCCGTATAGGTAGACATACCTCAAAGTCATAAGTGAAACTGCAGCAGACCATAGGTACCATAACGTAAATAATGCCAAAAAATTAAAGATATCCCATGATGATCTGTCAGTTCGAGAAGGGACATAAACAAAAGAGACTACCAGCTATCTTGACGAGCCTTGTGCTGGTCCATGATGATCAAAGGAGCAAGAGATGCTCCCCCATCCTTGACACCAACAAAAAGCTTGCCCACCGGTGAAAGCCCATACCGCCTCTCGACACGGCCAGCACCCTCGGTCCCCGAGCAAGTCAGGATCGAGCTGCTGGCCAAATACCGCAGCATCCTGTCGAGTACCGTCGCGGCCTGTGCATTATTCGTGCAAATGTTCGACACAATCTCTGCGACAGACAGCTGCCGACCAGGACCAGCATTGGCTATGATATCGAGCACGCCAAGCTCGATGACTGCCTTTAGAGTCATCGGGACAGCGTAGGCTCCGGCTATATACACCGCAGAGAGGAACGCTGCCATCTCCTCATCTGCGGATGCATCGTACTGTTGATCGTCCTGGTAAGTTGAGGCCATTATTGGGTTAATGTAGGTGATTTTGTTAACTTGAGTTGTACATATTCTCCTTTTTAGGGTTTATAAAGAAGCAAGGGGGTGGGTTCAATTAATGAGACCAGAAATTCATAGTAATTAAGATGCTAGATATGCAGTATAGCGTTGCAAATTTAACGCGGTCAAGTTTTGGCAGGCGGGAAGACGAGATGGCCGTGATTGACGGCATTCAATGAAGCTGCACATAATCAGACAAGATTAATTAATATAGCTCTCCGCTAGTCAGACCAGATGAACCTCACCATATTTATGGTTCCATAACTATCGTCAGCAATAATCAAGTCCAAGTCTCTCACCACACCAAAAATTTAAGAGTTGGGATAAAGATGGAGGGTTATTATAATTTTATAATCTGACTATTATAATTTTATAGTCTGACTAGCTAGTTCTTGCAATCTAAGAGTCTTTTCATAGATATATGATCAAAGATTGAACTCATAGAGCGACATCTTATAATTTTTTAAGTCCACTTTAGAAACTTGTGGCCATTGAATTTCTATCCTTAAAAATTACCCACGTCATCTAATAATATTATGGCAATTCATCTCATCTCATCTCTTTTCTTACTTTTAAGAATGAACCAAACACAAGAAATGAATCGTATCATCCATCTCATCTCATCTCATCTCATGTTTGAAAATGAGTCACATCATCCAATAATATGGTGACAACTCATCTCATCTCATTAAAATTTAATTTCTATCTATTTTCTCAAAAAAAAAATCATGAAATGGGTTTCCCTAAATATGAGTCATATCATCCAATAATATAATGATAACTCATCTCATCTCATCTCTTTTTCTTAGTTTTAAGAATGAACCAAACACAAGAAAAGAACCTAATATAGAAAATAGATATTTTATAATTAATTTTCCTTATTTTAATAGCCAACCAAACAACCTCAAAACAAGTCATAAAATTTGTTTCTTAAAAAATCACTCACATCATCCAATAATATGGTGACAACTCATCTCATATCATCTATGCGTCCTAACTCTGCATTTTAGATTTATAACACAGCGCGACCTATGCGTCCAGCCACCAAAATAGGCCCAACTCTGCGTTTTAAATCTAAAACGCAGAGTTCGGGTCCTGAACGCTATTTTTCAGCATTTGACTCATTCAAAGCATGAACTAAACGGTTTCAAAACCATTTTCCCCATGATTTGGGGAGCTGTTTAAGGGGGCGATTACACCCCATTCAGCCCTACTTAGAAGCGAATTAAGGGGGTGATTACACCCCTTAATCCCTGTTGGGAATTTAACGCTGAAACCCCTAATGCAACAGAAACGCAGTATAGAGAAAAGTACACAAGATTTACGAGGTTCGGCAACTGCCTACGTCCTCGGGAGCCACATAGTAAATTTCTTATTAATCAAACAAGAAATTATAATTCTAGAGCAGATCTCAAAACTGAGATTTCTCAAAAAGAACACTGTAGCTACAGTGTTAATAATTAAAGGGTATGAACCCCTTTCAAGTCTCACTTGAGAATAAATGAAGTCCACAATAAATTCCCTCTTTAATGATCTCTCTCTCTCTTCTTTAAATCTCTTTTTAATCTCCCCTCAAACAATTTGAGAGCTGGAGATTTGGGAACGCTGCTGCGTTTTGGGGGTTAAAAAAGGGGGGGGGGGAGCTTCAGCCACCGAAACCCTAGGTGATGGGGGTTTATATAGGCGGATATGGAGGGCTGGCGATAGCCTGTCACCAGCGGATAACCCTGACGCAAAGGTCGGGTTCGCCAAAAGAACGCAGAGGTCGGCAGGGGGGGTTCGAACGCCGAGCTAAAGGGGGGTTCGAACGCAGAGCTAAAGGGGGGTTCGAACGCAGAGCTCAAGCTCGCCTGTGCTGCCGAAGATCGCCTGGACCTCGCCTGTGGCTTCGCCTGCGTTGACATCGAGCTCGTCGGAGCTCCTCGTCGGCGCTCCTCATCGGAAATGAGGTTTGATCTACACCCTCATCCTAACAATCCCCTATATATAAATAGGAGTAAACTCAACTGAGTTTGGATATTTGGATCTTGGAGTATCTTGGAGATCTAGAGATCGGCTTCTTCGGTTCATCTCCTCGGCAACAGATCATCTTCGAGCTTCCTGCAGCAACAAAGTTCTTGGAGTATTCCCTTGGCTTATTAACCGATTTTTCGATTCAAATTAACTCTTTTTCAAGAGTTTAAACTCGCTCTGAGTTATCAACTCGTTCAGAGTTTCAAACTTGCTTTACAAGTTCTCCACAACGTCGAATCATGAGGAGAAGATATTATTCCAGTGAATTAAGATATTCGGATCGTCAACAGAGAGCAAACTTAACGCGAGCATTCGAGTGAGGCACTCCATCGCCACCGTGAAGAACCCAGACTTAAACAAAGGGAAGAATTCAGATCAATTCTTTTCTCTTTTGTAATCAGGAAATCCAAATTATAATTGAGATTGAGAGAGCTGTAAACATTCTTTTTCTAAGCAATTAGAGAGAATAAAATCAAATACAGTTCTTTCATTTTCTTATTATAAATTTTCCACCAAACAGTGCCTTCAAAGAGTTCTGTGATCATGAATGCATTATTCGACACTGGACAGTCAGGTCAACACCACAATAGAACGGCCTCGCGGAGAGACTGAACCAAATATTACGGGAGAAAGCAATGAGTATGTGATCTTATGCTGGATTGGGCAAGGAATAGTGAGCAGAAGTGGTGGCTACAGCTTGTTATATTGTGAACCATTCTTCACATTCTACATTGGATGGTAATACACCCTATAGGGTATGGTCAATGGAGCATGCAGATTATGAGAGGCTCTGAATTTTCGGGTGTACCACCTATTATCACGTTAATGAGGAAAATCTTGACGCGGGGGCTAAGAAGGCTACATTCTTAGGATATGCAAAGGGTGTAAAAGGCTACCATCTTTGGTGTATAGAAGATTCGAAGTTCATGATCAGTAGTGATGTTACCTTTGATGAGAAATCTATGATTGCTAAGGCACCCAAGGATGATGGTGTTGGGACTGTTGGGACTTCAAAGTCTCAGGTTATTAAGATAGACTTTAAAGACCAACCAGATTCTAGTCATGTTCTAGTGGAAAATCAGGTAGATGATGAGCTTGAGCAGGAGGAGGTTCAGCGGGAGAATACACAAGCACTACAACAATAGCAGGTCAAGAATAGTTTGGCGTCTACTAGGCCAAGGAGAGCATACAAGCAGGTACTGAAGCTGGGGGCTAATCAACCCCTGAAGTACTATAGACAGGTTAATTTGGTGGAATACGCACTCTTGGTGGAGGATGATGAGCCGGTCTCCTTCAAGAAAGCTATTCGGAATAGAGATAGTGAGAGTTGGTTGGTTATGATGGAGGAGGAAATAGAATCTCTTCGGAAGAACCAAACATGGGAGGTGGTCCCATTACCTGTAGGAAAAAAAGCTATTAATTATAAGTGGGTGTATAAGAGAAGAGAAGATCATTCAGAGCTCGGTGGTATAAGATACAAGGCGAGGCTAGTGGCTAAAAAGTTTGCACAAAGAGAGAGTATGGATTATAATGAGATATTTTCTCCGATAGTGAAACACACTTCTATTCGAGTGCTATTGAGTATTGTTACTCATAATTATTTTGAGCTGGAACAACTTGATATTAAAACGACCTTCTTGCACTGAGACTTGGATGAAGAGATCTATATGCATCAACCTGAGGGCTACAGGGTTGAGGATAAGGAAGAGATCTATATGCATCAACCTGAGGGCTACAGGGTTGAGGATAAGGAGCATCATGTATGTTGCTTGAGGAAGTCATTATATAGACTGAAGCAATCTTCTCCGTAGTGGTACAAGCGATTTGACTCCTTCATGCTGAAGCATATGTTTTATGGGGGTCTTGTGGGGGCCACACCCACGTGGGTGTGAACGAGACACAAATTTGTGTCTTCCGACCGCCACACCCATGTGGGTTTCTCGGGCACACGCAAGTGGGTTCCCCAAGCGGGCGTGGGTTGTTTCCAGATCCGTTTTTGGATCGGTGTTTGGGTATAAATACCTAACGATCTTTTCTAAGGTTTTGTGTGGGAGATAAAAACAGAGGGTTAGTCGGCTGTTAATAGAAGAAATAGAGGATTTAAGCGGCGGCTAAAGAGATCTAGATCTGAGATCTTGAGGAGAGAAAAAAGAGAGCTTAGATGGATTTTACAATAGAGAGGTCAATTTCTTTAGATCTGAGATCTTGAGGAGAGAAAAAAGAGAGCTTAGATGGATTTTACAATAGAGAGGTCAATTTCTTTTGGGTAAAAATCAAAGCTTCTTCTTTGGGACGAGCTTGTGGGTTGTACAAGTCGTTGGTATTCTCCTTCATAGTGGAATCTCCCCTCCCTTTTCCCGTGGACATAGGCAAGTTTGCCGAAATACGTAAATCTCGTGTCTTTACTGTTTTTCTTGGTGTTGGCTATTGCTTGTAGGTTCTCTCGACAAGTCAGTCCTAGAACTGATGAGAGGAAGAGTGTATATTTTATTTTGTTGAGATATTTCACTTTATGTTCTTGTTTCCTTAGTGAAACCGGAATATAGAGGTTGACTTGAGCTTTTGTGACAACAAAAGCCAGGGTTTTCTCTCAAGTTATATTGCTTCTGCGGTGTGAGAGCGTGTCTCTGCCCCCAACAGAGACACATTTAAAATATCTAAGACTTGAGGACTTATTTAAAAATAGATTAGATTTCGGGAAAAAAATATAAGCAAATCCCTTCACATTTTAGTTAATATGATAAGAAAACATATCTTATACAGTAAAACAATAAAAGATAAAAGAATGTGTAACTGAGGATTTGTATGGACGCGATTCTAGATTAGTACTACATATGTATAACTCTATCTATATGTTTTTAAGTCCACCGTACGATCAACAAGAACCATCAAGAAATAGAGAACCTACTCTCTTTTTTATTTATTTTAAAAACGGTAGAGACAGACATCAGCTTGTGCAAGAAACAAAATAAGCAAATCCCAAACACACAATAACGGTATATTTTTAAAACACAGTTCATTTGTAGAGCTCGATCGCTGGAATACCAAAAGCAGAAGGAACAAGCTTCAACTCAGAGAAGCCCGCTTCCTTTGCCAAGGACTCAAACTCATCCTTGGTCCTCTCTTTTCCCTCATTGAAATTCAACATGCAAAGGTCCGTGTTGAACATGGCTTGAGTCATGGTGTCTTCATCCGGGAGCTCAGGGATGACAAAGTCGACAACGATCACCTTACCTGAGCCTGGTAGAGCCTTCAAACAATTCTTCAGTATCTTTAGGCAATCTTTGTCAGACCAGTCATGAAGAATCCACTACAAAAATCATGAATTCATATAATTAGTTTCTTGTAATTATATATAGGGCACGGCCAGTGGCGGAGCCACCCTTGTTCAAGGTGGTTCCCTTGAACCACCTCAGTTTTAGAAATAGTCCATACATAATATACATATCAGTAATGTACTCAAAGTTGTTTCTATCCCAGCGGCAATGAGCATGGTATAAAAATAGTTACTTCAGGAGGTCTTGTGTTCAATACTTAGGCCTTTCATTATTGCATTTAGAATCTCAATTTTATTCTTCATTCTTTGTTTTCACTCTACTTTTTTTGCGTCTTAACCTTTTGTTTTCTCTCTTTTCTAAGTTTTACCGGCCTTCTAATCATCATCTTTTTATGAAGATAAGTTAAATTATTGTTTTTATATATTTACTACTGTATTTTCTTCTTTTTGTTATTTTCTCCTCTATTTCTTTTTATTCCTATTTATTTCTTGATTTTTCCCCTACGATTAATTGAAAATTTTTTAAGGTTCATTTTGAACCACCACTCAAGAGGTTGTAGATCCGCCACTGGGCACGGCTCTTTTTTTGGTACGTACGTTGCAGCTGATAGTTACAATATGAATGCTGGTTGCAATCATCTGCTATTATACATGTAGATGATACTCATTTATTTTCTGTAAAAATATGACACAGATTGGTGGAAGAAATTTTTTGGGCAAATCTTCCTAGTACAAAATACTTATGAAAACGCATACGTATAGATTAAGAGAAAAAGGTTTAGTAATTTACATAGAATTAACAACTTTAATTTGAAGACAAACTAATGCGGGTATTAAGAAAAACACGTGCTAATATACCTTCATAAAGATTGCGTCCCCACTTGGAATGCTATCAAACATATCTCCGGCAACATGTTCCACTCCTGCGCCATATATAGTGATCCGATAAATGCAACATGTATGTGGTGCTCGTGCTTAATTAGTTACTTATATGTATGGTTCATGGTAATCCTTACCTTTGATAGATGGCGCATCAGAGATAACATGAGGCAGATCAAAGTTAATTCCGTTCATTTGAGGAAACTTGGAGATGATCGTTTGAAGAGAGGCTCCAGTACCGCCGCCAACATCTACGAGCTTTTGAATGCCTTTGAAGCCCGGGTAGCTATCCACTACAATTTTCAGGATGAAAGCGGAGGCACACGACATGCCGTTATTGAAGACCTTACTTAATTCATGATCACTTTTCATGTACTCAAATTCATGCATTCCATTGATCTTCTTGAAGGGAATCACTCCATCAAGAACTGCATATTTCATTTCTTGCCTAAAAGAGGATTCGATCGAATATATCAGTAGTTACTCAATATTTGGCCGCAGATATGTCAAGATTTCAAAGCATTAATGTTGAGTGTTTGTAGATATTGTGAATTACACTGGCTAGAGGTCTGTTATGCATATAACCTGGATTTCACAATTGGACTACCTAGATCAATCTCACGATAACAAGCTGACTAAGTCAACGAGATAACCCACTTCACTTGGGTAAAGCGTGGGACATTCACACTCAACTTATATATAGCTCAGTTATGACCCAAAGCATGCATTGACGTTAAGTTCAAATACGGAGAAAGAGGTTCATGGCTACTAGGCTCATCTCAATCTGATTAACATGCGTCATCTCAACCCAGCGTGGTTTTATGACGGTTTGCATGTCTAGCGATGATGACATGTATACTAGCTGATTTGCCTAGGAAATTAAATGCATAACTCTACCAACAAGTAAAGAGAAGACTTATCTCAATCTTGACTTGGTACCACCGACCTTTGGTCTATAAAACCCTCCTCTCTAAACTCTAACCTACAAGCTTATTGCTTTGATTTTCATCATGAAGAGTCCTACTTAGGCATTGGAGGGGCGTTGTTAGATAGTCAACCATTGTCAATTTATTGCTTTGTCTGTGGATCTCAAGCACTATTAGTAGAAGATCATTATCAAACATCAAGGAAGATCTCGGGGGCCTCAACATCGAGTCCAATATTGCGAACCCAATATATTAGGATTTTCCTTGCATCAACAAGGTCTTACCTTAAAGTTTTTTTTTTTTTTTTGCTCTTTTACTAAAGGGTTTGGGTCCTCTCTACTACCAGAAAGTTGTTGAGAGGACAATATCTTTAATTCTATCATTGATTAATTAATTAATGTTTATGATAATGATAGGGAATGAGATACTCTCTAATTAGATGGTAACTTCAGAAGGTCCAATTACCCTCATCCTTACCGTTCACTCCAATTATAAGGGATAAGACAAAATCAGATAAGATTTCTACCATCAATTCTTAGTTTTTAAGATAGTAGTTTTTAAGACAAGTTATTTTTAAGATAATAGTAGAAATCCTATGTGATCTTATCTTATGCCTTGAAAAAATTGGATTAGACACTAAGAATTGATGTAATTGGACTTTGGGTGTCATTTGTAGGATGAATCATAGACAAAAACTATGTTGATCTCTTAACTAAAAATAGAAGTATTAATCTCTGCTACTTTTCGAGCAGAGAACCTCTACATTCCTTGTTATAGAGAGATTCTTCAACTTGGTTTTGTACACTTATATCTTCATTTGATGGACCTCATGAATAGTATTGTTTACATATGGAGTAGTTCCTTTTGGAGACAAATTCATGGGATCTATCATGAAACAAGGTGCACTTGTCTTTTTCTTGAGATTCTAGTCAAGATATATCTATGACTCAGGTCTCATAAATAGTTCCTTACCTTTGAAAGCATACAAAAAAATATCCTCTAATATGGGACCCAGTAATTGAATCAATATAGGAGAATCTGAAGCAGTGCTTTTTTCCTTTTTGGATATACCAATGTGTGAAAGCTGATATGTATAACATTCTAGAATAACAGAGTGAAAAAAAGGCTTTACCAGCTAGCTTGACGAGCCTTATGCTGGTTCATGATGATCAACGGAGCAAGAGATGCTCCCCCATCCTTGCCACCAGCAAAAAGCTTGCCCACCGGTGAAAGCCCATACCGCCTCTCGACACGGCCAGCACCCTCGGTCCCCGAACAAGTCAGGATCGAGCTGCTGGCCAAATACCGCAGCATCCTGTCGAGTACCGTCGCGGCCTGTGCGTTATTCGTGCAAATGTTCGACACGATCTCTGCGACAGACAGCTGCCGACCAGGACCAGCATTGGCTATGATATCGAGCACGCCAAGCTCGATGACTGCCTTTAGAGTCATCGGGACAGCGTAGGCTCCGGCTATATACACCGCAGAGAGGAACGCTGCCATCTCCTCATCTTCGTCTACGTAATTGGAGCCCATATTTGTGTAATTTAGATATTACTTGACTTGTACATATTACCTGGCTTTCTTGGGGTTTATATAGAAAAATAATGTTAGAGGCACACCACCCACCACAACCCCAACCACACTCCCCCCTCTCATTGCTACAGTAAACCGGGCCCCACATTGGATTTTAAAAATTTTAAAATCCCATGTGAGGCCCGGTTTACTGTAGCAATGAGAGGGGGGAGTGTGGTTGGGGTTGTGGTGGGTGGTGTGCCCCTAACACCACTCTATATAGAAGGAAGACGGGTTCCATTCTATTAGAAAAAAGGGATTTTTGCTAATAAACCCGAACTTTTTCTCCCACCGAAAACTTCACCCAGTTCTTTATGTTCGACTAAACCCAAAATACAAAAGTTGATTATCTTGAAGCCCAAAACATAGAATTAAAAGTATGTTAGGGCATATATGTACCTATACACTCTAATATTACGTTACCGAGTCAAGATTTTATCACAGTTGTGTCCTTATATAATTTATTAATTTATTAAAGTAAGCCATACCTATTTTAAACTGAGAATTGCTATTTGGCTCGCCAACTCGCAAGAGAGGGGGTAGCAGTGGGTCCCACCCCCTACCCCCTCTCTTGCGAGTTGGCGAGCCAAATAGCATTTTGCAATTACACTCTAGTGGTGTCCTATCCTATTTTTAGTGGTGTCCCGCGTACTATACGCAAGTTTAATTAAAGTTATTTATAAAGCAAGCAATACAGTGGTGCTATCTTTGGACACTATACTAGACACCATATGGCTCCTCGTACCAATTATGTACGGTTGTACCAATAGACCCCACAATATGTTATTATATTAAACTATATATATGTAGATATTGTTAAGACGTAGTCCGTACAATATTCTCTTATTTGGGTAATAACAAACTATAATTTGATAGTAATATTTATTTGAGATGTTATAGTACATGTAAATACATGTATCAGAAATGTACGATGCAAAATGATTCAAAAATTAGCTTAAAAACTGATTTCAGCACTTCTACTATTGATGGTAGGATTTGACCATCGATGATGAGTAAGTATCATTGATAGTCAACATGCATCATTGATGATTTTTACTCCAGAGACATTCATATCATCGATAGACTTCTCAACCATTGATGGTCTCCCGCTGATTGTAGATTTTTAGATTCAATCACAGTCGTTCGTCATTTATAATATCTCTAACATCTACCATTTATGATCTCTCTTTCCTGACATATTAGGGAGGTCATATTATTGAAAGATAGAGAAAAAAGGAGGGATTCTAGGATTTGATTTGTGAGAGACTAATTTGAAGATTTTGACCCCAGAGCCTCATCAAACTCTCACTCATTGTGCACAATATCTCTGGATCATTTTAGCAAGGAGAGGTGCCCCTAGATTGATCTTCTTTACTATTCTTCATCCAGTTGTTTATATATTTCGAGGGACGATTTGTTTTAACAAAAGGGCTGTGAGATCTTTCTTTTATTCTGAGCTTAATTGTTTGTGTTGAGTATTGCTTTGAACTTCTTTGACGGCATACTCAATCCGGTTAAATTGAGGGTTGATATTAGTTAATGCTATGTGTTACTCATTGTGGGAGTTAAGTTAGACGACTGGTTTTGGGTAAATTTCATGGTGCAATCTTGTAAGCCCGATGGATCGGGTTCGTGATTTAGGTAAACTCTTTGCATGGTGAGAGAGCTCTTTTGTGAGAAGGAATATGAAGGTAGGATTGTTATCCAAACCACTATAAAATCTCGTGTGTACCTGGTTAATTGCTTTTGATATTTTATTATATTGCTTTACATCGTCTATCGTTAGAAGATGGGTGATTAGGGTCTTATGCTAATCTAATCCGATTTTATGCCAATTAAAATCAAATTTTGAAAGTTGATTTCTGATTTTAAAACCCTGTTTAAAAATATCAAATAAATTCTAAAAATATAAAACTTTAGGAAATAATTGTAGACATGATAATAAACATGTTACAAAAACCGATTTTCAAAAAAAGACTTCCCAAATAAAAAATATCATTATTTTGCAAAATAGTCCAAAACATGAAAATGTAAACATATGAGTTTTGACATTTTAGCTTAACCATGTTTTGAAATATTACAAAATAATTATATAGACTTAATGAAAGATATATATGATTGTTATTAAGTCCATAAACCAAGAAAACAATATTTTCATAAAATTGCATATTTTGCAAACATTTGAAAAGAAAATATGATTTCATTGAACTAAATAAAATTAATATTGATGAAATCATATATGTGCATGTAAGTATGAAACAAAAATATGTTTTGTAATTATATTCAATTGTTTCATATTAAAACTTGAAAACTATTTAACCAAAACATATATGTATATATATAATAATATATATACAAAGCCAAAACGTGTATGTGTGTATATGATTGAGCTTAAAGTACTAACACACATAATATAAAACCTAAAACTAAATTTATCCAAGCTTGTAATCTTCAACGAAGCTCTATCTTGGTACATTTGCGGATGAACCTAGAACTTGGATCTTCAATTTGAATTACATAGGCTTCAACAACTATATTCGCCAACCTTCATTTGATATGATCGTTATGGCGTAATCCATCCAACCTCCAACACATTGTTTGCCTAGAATAAATGCGAAAACACAAACACTAGACAAATAACATTAGATGTAAATTGTTTGCTAAACATCATCAAAACAAGAAGGTGGCCTTCTTGTTTTGATGATGTTTAGCAAATAATTTATATCTAATGTTATTTATCTAGTGTTTGTATTTTCGTATTTATTCTAGGCAAACAAGGAGTCGGAGGATGGATGGAATCAAGCTTTACGATCATATCTAATGGAGGTTGGCCGAATAGTGGAGTGAAACCTTGCAATTTAAGTTGAAGATCCAAGTTTAAGCTTTATCCGCAAAGTGCACCAAGTCAAGCTTAATGAAGATCAAGATTGCTTGGGTAACATTTAGT